ATCAGCATCCCTCCCTCTCCTTCCTTCCTCCTGGTCCTCTGCTCTGGCTGCTCTATGTCCGCCTCTCTGATTGGCGCTGCCACCCGCTTTCGGGTCTTTTCTCTGCCAGGATTGGACAGCCAGGCAGGCCTCCATTGGGCTGCCAGGGAAGGAGGGAGACAATGGGGCAGGGATGCGCCACCCCTGGACACACAAGGCTGACCGGGAGCCACAGGGTTGTTTGTGCAGGAAGACACAATCCAAGCCCTCCAGACAGATGACCATCCGGTCTTTGCTTTAAAGCCTCCAAGAAAGGAGATTCCTAGCAGACTCCCAGGGAGTCTATATTCCTCTAGAAGGGGGCCCCCAAAGGCCATCCAATCCATTCCCCCTTCTGTTAATATAGGTAAACACAACCCAAACACTCCTGACAGATGGTCATTCGGTCTTTGCTTTAAGCCTCCAGGGAAGGTGACTCCTAGCAGACTCCCATGGAGTCTATATTCCACTAGAAGGGTTTCCCAAAGGCCATATAGTCCAACCCACTTCTGTTTATGCAGGAATACACAACCCAAACCCCCCTGACAGATGGTCATCCGGTCTCTGCTTTACAATCTCCTGGGAAGGTGACTCCTAGCAGACTCCCAGACAGGATATATTCCACTACAAGGGGACCCCCAAAGGCCATCCAGTCCATTCCCCCTTCTGTTTATCCAGGAAGACACAATCCAAGCCCTCCCGACAGATGGTCATCTGGTCTTTGCTTTAAAGCCTCCAGGGAAGGAGACTCCTAGCAGACTCCCATGGAGTCTATATTCTACTAGAAGGGGCCCCCGAAAGGCCATCCAATCCATTCCCTCTTCTGTTTATATAGGAAGACACAACTCAAACCCCCCTGACAGATGGCCATCCAGTCTCTGCTTTAAAGCCTCCAGGGAAGGGCACTCCTAGGAGACTCCCATGCAGTCTATATTCCACTAGAAGGGTTCCCCAAAGGCCATATAGTCCAACCCACTTCTCTTTATGCAGGAAGACACAATCCAAACCCTCTCGACAGATGGCCATTCGGCCTCTGCTTTAAAGCCTCCAGGGAAGGAGACTCCTAGCAGATACGCAGGGAGTCTATATTTCACTAGAAGGGGACCCCCAAAGGCCATCCAATCCATCCCCCCTTCTGTTTATATAGGAAAACACAACCGAAACCCTCCTGACAGATGGTCATCCGGACT